TTCCAGTTCTAGGAGATAGGATATCTCCATTAACTTTTTTTTATTATTATTTTTTTTTTTTTAGGGAAAGGCAGCAGGTCCAACTCCCCTTGCCTATGATAACTGGCTGTTACACTGCAGTCTGCCCCAGGGAATGGGGGCTTGAGGACTGGCAGTAGTCCTAGACTGAGGCAAGGTGGGGATTAGAGGGTTTGGGCAGGGCCGGCTCTGGCTTTTTTGCCGCCCCAAGCAAAAAAAACAAACAAAAAAACGTGGCGGCCAGAACAGCAAAGCAAAAAAAAAACAACCTGCGTGGGTGCAGGGGGACCGGCTTGGGTGCGGGGGAGGGGAAGGGAGCGGGCGGGAGAGAGAAGGGGGCGGACAGGGCTACAGCAGGGGCGCTGCCACACGGCCCCTCCCGCTGCGCCGCCTCCTGCCACCTGCTGCGAGGGCTCCGCTCCGGTCGGGGGGAGGGAAGGAAGAGGACTGCCCTGCAGGGCGCTCTGGTTCTTCGCGCCGCCGCCCCCTACAGGGCGGCCGGAGCGGAACAAGAACAAACAAACAAAAAAGCGGCCGTGCCGGCCTAGGATTGGGCAGAACGCCGCCTTGAACAATCTGCCGCCCCAAGCACCAGCTTCCTCAGCTGGTGCCTGGACCCGGCCCTGGGTTTGGGGTTCCCCAGCGAGGGAAGACCCAGAGGCAGAGTGTGGGGTTATTGCCAGGCGGCAGCACCCCAGGAAAAAGGGCCCTGGGGTCCAGGATGGACACGGGGCCAGCGGACAGTGAGACACCGGCCTGCAGAGGGTGCTCTGAGCTGGAAGAGCTAATTCCCTGGACGACCAGCAGGAGGCGCCACAGGGGTGAGTTGTCGCACTGCTACGTTCCCCTTCATGTCAAAAAGGTTGAAATGTTCCTTTTGACATTTCACAATGGATTGGTTCACATTTTTGTTTCAAAATGTCTTTTCATTTTGAAATTTGATCTTATTTTCTAAGTCAAAAGCAGAATGAAACATTTTGATTTCATTAAAATGAAATGTGTTGATTGACCCCAAATGAATTTTTTTCAACATTTTCATTTAATGGGAAATTTCAATTTTTTAAATTCTGATTTAGAATCAAAATAAATTTTGAAATGTCTGAACTTCCCATGGAACAGAAATTCTGTTTCAACCAGCGCTACTGAAAACACGACACACGTGTTATCTAATGGCTCAGTAACCAGAAGGCAAATAAAAAAATTAAATGTATTTTTAAATTTTTTTTTTTAGGGTTGATTCATGATTTTTGATGCATGGCATTGGCAATGCTGAATGTAGTTCAGAGGTGGGCAAACTACGGCCCATGGGCCACATCCAGCCCACAGGACCCTTCTGCCCGGCCCCTGAGCTCCTGGCCAGGGAGGCTACCCCCAGCCCCTCCCCCACAGCCTCAGTTCACTGCACCCCCAGCGCAATGCTCCGGGCAGCAGGCCTGCGAGCTCTTGCCGGGCAGCGCAGCTGTAGAGACGTGGCCTGGCTGGCCCGGTGCTCTGTGCTGGGCGATGCGTGGCCGGCTCCAGCTGGGCGGCACGACTGCCTGTCCTGGTGCTCTGGGTGGCGCAGCTGTAGTGCCGCCAGCCACCGGCGCTCCAGGAAGCGTGGTAAGTGGGCATGGAGAAGGGGTGGTTGGATGGGGCAGGGGTCCTGGGGGGCAGTCAAAGGGCAAGAAGCGGGGGGGGGGTGGTTCAGATGGGTGTGGGGGCCGGGCCACGCCTGGCTGTTTGGGAAGGCACAGCCTCCCCTAACCAGCCCTCCGTACAATTTTGGAAACCCGACGTGGCCCTCAAGCCAAAAAGTTTGTCTGCCCTGATGTAGTTGAATGTTTCAAATAAATTAAAAAGCGGATTTAACATGGCACGCTGTAGTTCTGGATTTTTAATGTAATTGTTTAGATAACTCGTAGGAAGTTTTTAAATGTTGCGACATACAGTAATAATAAAAATACATCTGTTATTTGTATTAGAATGGAGCTGATTAGATCGAGAACACCAGAACTTTGGCAAAGTTCCAGTCCCAATCAAACGAACATTGCAACTCTGATCTATTTCTCACTCACATCAGATCCTGTTTTGAAATTTTAAAAATAACTTCCAACTATGATGGCTGAAGGAAAGTGTAATGGCATATTTCTGCCAATACTGTTGGCCTCTATAAAGTTTTAGTTAGGGTTACCATATTTTAAGTGTCCAAAAAGAGGACACTCCATGGGGCCCCTTCCCCACCCCAACTCCGCCCCTGGCCCCGCTCCAACCCCGCTCTTTCCCCAAAGTCCCTGCCCCAACTCTGCCCCCTCCCCTGAACGCTTTGCCCCCCTGCTCCTCCCCTTCCCCTGTTTCCTGCGAACATTTGATTCGCGGGAAGCCTGAAGCA